TGAAAAAGTACTCTGACTAGAGACATTTTATTTTTCTGAAAAAAAAAATGCTTAACATTATTAAAACTTCTAATATTCCAGTTAAGTACTCCAACTAAGGTCAAAATACTAGTGCTACCAGTGCAGTCCGTGCCCTAAACTATTAGGCTACTATCGATTATGTATTAATCATTTTACAAGTGATAAAATTTAAAAAAAATGTTCAACCGACTTCAATATAAATAAAATGAGAACATCATCAATATATTCGAAATCAATTAAATACGCATTATTAAGGATAACTCAAAAACTACTGGTCAGATCTTGATCAAATTTATATAAGACTATAAATGAAAAAAGGATCATCAAAATCGGTTTACCTAAAAAAAGTTCTGTGGTTCTGACACATAAAAAAACATTCAGTCGAATTGAGTACCTCATGTTTTTGAAGTCGGTTGAAAATGAGGTCGTATCTTAATATAAGTACTTATAAATTTATTCCTTTGTTACTTGCCAGCGCTACATTAGATGACTTCAGAGCTTGTTACACAACCAATTTGACACAATAAATATAAAGTTTTTCATACGCTTTACCATTTAAAGCGCTTGTTGTTCAAAGTAAAGTCTGAGAAATTTTCAATTAATAAGCTATTTGTCAGCAACGTGCTCATTACGGCCATCTGCTTAAAATACTCCGCCTTATACGATCATTTTAATTAATAAACGTTTAGTAAGATATACGTATACTTTTCTAACGATTTCCTTGAAAGGCTGGAATCAATGTAATGTTGAGCCCTTACATGAATGATTTGTTCCAATTAATGGAACAGACTTAACTATGTTTTGTGCCGAGTGAAACACAAATTCTGATGGATGCAATTAGATAGATTTTGCCCTTATTAGGATTAATAATACAATTATATTAAATATGCTCCAACGACGATTTCGGTGGCGTCACCGACAATGTGATAAATCAGCACTTAAAGATGCAATAAACAATAAAATTGTTTGTGTTGGTGTCCTGTAAAATTAACTTTAAGCGCTTAGCCCCTGAGCTACCATTACTACGTAGTAAAACTAATATTAAGTGTCGCAATAGTTAATATTGCTACAAATTACGTAATCTATACGATTACAAGTGAATTGTAAGCAACCACCTTATCTACCGCCCACATACACAAAGTAAACGTATTACATTCAATTATTGGCATTTAATAATTATTCAATAAGATAGTTATCGTATACCGTACAGAAATAAAGTAACATAGTTTAAGTCCTCGTGACTTAAGGCTGGCGATCTATTTGAGAATAAAGCGGACAGTTAATTGGCTATGTGCCTACCTATAAGGCAACTGATACAATATTTCGAACTCTGACTGAAATATAACGTTTCACTCTGCAGACTGTCGTATGCGTCGGATATTAGTAGAGTTTGCTAAATTTGAAATTGACAATGAAATGGTATGTCTATTGATTTAAAATTTCCTTAAAAGTTCATGCCAAATGAATTATTTAGAAATTTCTAATAAACTTGCCTGTGTTAAATAAAATTTCAAAGTTAGTAGCAAAACCAAAATCGCTCAGGCACCAATGAAATCATTAACTGCAATTTGTAAGTGCTACTTTGCAACGTGAGTAGTTACGTTGTACCACTTCTGGCTCACTGAGTCAGAAGTGGTACAACGTTCGTCAACTCACGATCCTAAAAAAAAAGTTTTGGCATGCACTGATCACGAATCTGCGGCCCGTTTTTGTGTAGGATGCACGGTTCAGGAGATGTGCAGATCAATTAACTAATATCTAATTGATATCCGGTAAGGGCCTCCACCGTCATTAACGTCCCATTGTTCTTATCTATTTATCTATTGTTCATTGAATACCGTCATTGTGTGCGTCGGCTTATCAGTGCTATTGTATTATACTTCTTTGTTCCTAACTGCAACGCTAATCTGAATAATCAATAAAACACTACTACTACAAACCTAATTTTGTTACAATTTTTAATTACAAAATACAAAATCTTATTACTTTGAGCGAAACATCTCATCATGCATGCAGAACATGCCAAAACTTTTTTCTTTTTAGGATCGTGAGTCGACGAACGTTGTACCACTTCTGACTCAGTGAGCCAGAAGTGGTACAACGTAACTACTAACGTGCTCAGCAGTGAAGGAAAACATCGTAAGGAAACCTGTACGTTTTCGAAAATATTTCGAGTGCTTGTGATGACTAAATCAAGCGCGAGAAGCCATAGCGAGACGTGTAAGCTGTTAGTTCTTAGTTATTTCTTATAAGTAAGGGTAACAAACACACAGTCACCTGATGGTATTTTTTATAGAATAGGGAAAACGAGTATCGCCGCCCATAAACAACTACAATACAAGGAGAATTTCAGGTGCGAGCTTCTTTAAGAAATGGGCAGGCACTTTTCTTAAAGTGCCCTTCGTCGGAAAAATAGTTGTTAATAGCGAATTCCACAAAGAAATTATGCGAGAATGAAAACTTCTTAGTTGCAAAGTAAATTTTCCGGTTCTCTTCACTAACCATACGAAACGTAGCCGCATTTTACTACTACTTTTGCTGATATCTGCGCCATCATGAGCTATCGCGGGTTGAGCTCACCAATTCATGCTGTAACTATAATTCAGCTACACCGTGGCTCTACCACGTAAATCTATAAAATGCTCGATTATACAAAATTTTATAATCACTACTTAAAGGATCCTGTACACACAAAATATCATCCGTTGCTCAAATAATAGGAGCATGACTTTCACCGACACGTCGTCGCGATAACATCTGATTTTGTTTGCCTCTATTTGTTTAGAATAAACAAACAACATCATTGTACCCCGCTACTTGCGGCATTACCATTCAATGAACTATTGAATGAATACTTCTGTATTGAATCACCATTTGTAAATAAACTTGTTTAAATATAACATTGTAATATATAATTTTTTTTAAATATAAATTGTAGTAAATCGTCAAATCATACATTTAAAAGTATATTATATAATTGGCTTAAAGAATATGACTATGATCAATGTGAAAATTTAATAGCTCCATACGAATAACTTTATTTGCAGTGCAACAATCACTGTGCTACAAACACACACAGTGCTACGTATACACACAACACACACACGCACGCACGCATACACGCGCGCGCGAGCACACACGCACACATACACGCACGCATAACACACTCCTGAAATACAGGGTATCGTAGTTTGGCAGTCAGGGCTCAATAATGTATGAAATAGAAGTGCTAAATAAAGATATTATTATAATATAATATGTTTAGCAGTGGATGTGTGAAGGGATGTAGTGATGAAGATGATTATGATGATAGTGGATATGTAAAAATGGGCACACCATGCTCATGATTAAAACTAGAAATAAGAATACCTAAAGCGAACAAGAAGAAAGGTTATTGGAGGTTAAGTAATTTTCTAAATTGTTCTTTAGTTGTATTTTACAATACGCGACGAGATGGAGTAGAAGATTATTTGATCCATCCATTCATCTATCAAAGCCACTGCTGATAACAAGCAATACACTGTTAAAAATTAGCGTTTTTCTTAAATAAGAATAAAATTATAATAAGTAATGAAAAGGCCGTGTAGTGTCGGCGCAAGAAAATACACAACCCCTTATACTCCTGTGTCGTATGAGGCAACACAGGGAAATAAAACAAGGGACGGGAAATAGCATGTTGCTTCATTTACATGCTTTATAGCCCCCTTGTCAAGATGGCAATAAAGCGTGTAAATAAATCAAATAAATAAATTAAATAAAAAATATCATAATGGGCAATCTATAGGATATGTTATTTGCTAGGGGGGGGGGCTATGTTTGGGACTTTTGATAATGAAATAAAATGTATTGTAATGTATGTGGGTATATAGATCAGGAGACCCTTTTTTACTGGAATCGAGGCATTCTATCTTAGTCCTCAGGGGTGACAACGGATCTGCATATTGATTCCTAATCGAGGATTTATGTAGATGCCTATGGGCCACAGCATTCACTTACCATCAGGTGCACCGTGTGCACATTTGTCAACGATATTCTATAAAAAAAGTGTTTCGATGTGCTCTGCAGGGCATGGTCCAACAAATTCATATTATACCTATAATACCTATTGCCAAAATTATAATACAGGGAGAAATTCCTAATGTGGTATTACGTTTGTTAAACTAAAATAAAATGGCATTAGCCGCCAACTTCACACCGTTCATCCACCCATTACAGCCTATCGACGTAAACTGCTGTTCATAGGCCTCCCCATTGATTTTCCAATAAAGTAGATATTTGGCATAGTTCTCAAGCTTAGCACACAGGTTGGCAACCATTTTTATTTCCAAGTTAGCATGGACAAAAAGGGCGGATAGAGTTTCGCTAAGAAACAATTGAAGCACCGCAATGGCGACCGCGTAACTATGTGTGAGCGCGGCTTGAAGCGTAGTGGCGGACGGTAGACTTACTATGGTAAGCGCTTGCTGTGCGGCCGTAGACACCTACATGTATCCTCGATTACGAATCAAAATTAAGATGCGTTATCACCGGTGAGGACTAAGATGGTATGCCTCATTTCCAGTAAAAAGGGTCTCCGGTTCTACACACTCACCATACGAAATACAGCAGCATTAAGCTACTATTTTACGCTGGTATTCTGTGAGAATGTGGTCCAACCCCGGTCGCGCCGACCCATTCGTGCTCCAACTATACTATTAATATAACTGCAGCATAGCTCCACCTCGTATAAAAGTACTTCTATTTAATAATGTCTAATATTTTGTAAGTTTGTGGGCTAAACTAATGGTTCTAATCTCACTCAAAGGCTAAGTATAGTTATTCAGCGGGAAAACGCATGGCACGGTATATTAACGGGAAGTAGGACTTACATAATAACTTAGTTTCTTTTTATTATAATTACTACTGTATATTATTATGTTAAATAAACAAACGTACTATTTAGCAGTTAATCAAGAATGCATAAAATAAACAAAACATACCTGGTGTGGTCCATGCTAAAGGTAACAGAAACACGAGAAGCCAGACTGTTCCTTGCTGCGTCAGCGCGCACCACCGCGCCATCTCACTGTAACAAAAACATTGCAATATGAGTAAATTGAAAACAGATTACGATCTTCAGGTCTATTTATTATCACGATTCGCTTAAAGAGGACCTCCAAGAAAAGAGCCTATTCCTGTTTAAAAGGCCGACAACGCATCTCCCCTGGTGTATCAGTTGTTCATGGGCGGCGGTAATGACTTACCATCAGGTGAGCCGTATGCTCATATGCGCCGTATCTCCCATATAAAAAAGTAAAATTTAAGTTTTTTTTTTTTAAATTTAGTTACACGTTGAAAAGAAATTTATTTTAGGTTCGGGATCGTCATTTATCATAGGATATACCAGAATCGAAGATCCTGGTGATAACCGGTTGTTACCGCCAGCCTATGCTGAACGTAGGCCTCCCCCACGCTTGGCAAGCAGGTTGGCAACCGCGGTTTTTTATTCCCATCTCCTGATTTGTTTCTGTCAGTGTCGAGATGATAAGGGGTAGTAGATATTCTTACACACATAATTCATATTTATTCTAATAGTACATAATAATTAAAATTATAATCTGACGTATCCATGACCACCGCGGCATTTCCCTTATCTGCGCGGAGAATTGTGAGTTCTGATTTAATGCGCAGGTTATCAAACCCTATAAATTAGTCATCGGGTAGGTTCGGTTTCGGCAATGAACTTCGATGTAACATAGACGAAATGTCTTGACTTATCGCCTCCAAATCTCTTTTCCGCATATTGTTTTAAATTCCTTTTAATGATGATTCGCGAGACTATTGAAATCAAAAATCAACTTAACTTCAGTAGAGAAAATGACTGGGTGCTAAACGGAACTAGGGCAGCCCTAAACCTACTAGTATTAAAGAAAATATAACAATAGTTACAATAATTCTGTTTCGGCTTTCACGAGGTTCTCGTCATACGGGATGGTAATATCGACCAAAAATATCCTTGACTGTGCCCGGTCCATCAGCACAATATCAGGCTTATTCGCAAGAATAGTCCTGTTTGTGATGATGGCCCGGTCCCAGTAGAGCCTGGCGCGGTCATTTTCGAGCACGGCTTCCGGCAAGTACTTGTAATACGGCACTTTCCGGTCCACGAGACCGTATTTCAGAGCGAGCTCCTGGTGTAGAATTCTGGCTACTAGGTTGTGCCTGTGCAAGTACTCAGAGTTAGAAAGCGCCGAACAACCGGAGATGACATGCCTAAGTGACTCACAGTTACAATAATTCAACAGTTGCAAGCTTACTAGATGGTAGGACTTCTCTTCTGCCTCGGAGGACCCCTAGGCGTCATAGACGGACGTCTGGTCTTCTTATGTTCCGATCAGAAGACTATGGAGAGACAGTATAATTTCAGGTTGTGAAGCATTCCTTTTTAGTCCTTAGGCGTGATAACACATCTGTAACCTTTTCTTAGAAGTTGTCTAAAGATGTCTTTTTTTATAGGATAGGGTGACAAACGAGCACGCAGTCCACCAAATGGTAAGTGGTTGCTGTGGCCCATAGACATCTACAACAAATGCAAATGCGTTGTCACTCGTGAGGACTAAGATGGAATGCCTAGTTTCCAGTAAAAAGGGTATCCGGTTCTCTACACTCACCACACGAAACACAGCAGCATTAAGCTTCTATTTTACGCTGGTATTCCCTGAGAGTGTGGTCCTACCCCGGTCGAGCCGACCCATTCGTGCTACAACTATACTTCTTTAGTCTGCAATAGTCCCTTAACATCAGGTCGACTGTAAATTCGTTTGTCAATACAGTTTTATTAAAACAAATATACAACGAGATAAATATTATCATCTATACTATAAGCTGCACGATTGGGTCGGCTAAACTAATAACCCGGCTGCTGTCATTTACATAAAGTAAAGTAAAGTATGTCATTTACATGCAAGATACTTATTAATAATTCATGATACTACCAATTATAATCAAGTAGCAAAAAATTGTTTTCTTTATTATTTAGAGTTTTAGTTATTTAGTTGGTCTAAAGTTCATGATGTTTTAGGATTATGAATGGACAAAACAACGAATATATAATATATAAAAAAAATATATATATATATATATATATGGTTTATTAATAAGTTAAATTTGGTTTTAGACCAAATCTATCAACTGAGTGTGCAATACTGTCGCTGAAGCACACTGTGGGGTATTACGCTGTAAGGAATACGCCAGTGTACGCAGCCTTCCTGGATCTTTCAAAGGCTTTCGACCTTGTCAGGTATGACATTCTGTGGGATAAATTGCGAAAGGCTAGTCTACCCGTCTCGTACATTAGTATTTTTAGCTATTGGTGCGATCATTAAATTAATCAGGTAAGGTGGTCTAGTGCACTGTCGGACGAGTACAGATTGGAATGCGGTGTGAAACAAGGGGGATTAACCTCACCTACGCTTTTTAATTTATATATAAACGAACTGATTAATAGACTCCAGAGTGCACGTGTCGGCTGCTCTATTGATGGACTCTGCATGAACAACATCAGTTACGCAGACGACATGGTGCTTCTGAGCCCGTCATTCAGTGCACTCAGACGGCTTTTGTTCATATGTGAGGTTTATGCAGAAGTCCACGGTCTAAAATATAATGTTGCGAAGAGTGAGCTCATGGTGTTTAAGGTGGGCACGAAGAAACCAAATTTCGTACCACCTGTAACTTTAGGGGGTGTTGCACTTAAACGAGTAACTGAATTTAAGTACCTAGGCCATGTTGTTACCGAAGATTTAAAAGATGATAAAGACATTGAAAGAGAAAGGAGAGCGCTGGCTGTCCGCCGCAATATGCTGACCTGTTGGTTCTCACGCTGTACAGCCGAGGTAAAAGTTATTTTATTTAAGGCCTATTGCCAATCCCTCTATACGTGTGCCTTATGGGTCAGATATACGCGGCGGGCATACAACACTAATTTATTACCTAATTTTACTTACTTATATTTAAGACTTTTTCTTTGTATTTTTAACAAAAAATATTTTATATTATGGTAAGTTTTGTTGGTGGTTTGGTTAATATATAATTAAATCGGATATGATGTATGTGTAACGGTGAAATCGATTTGTGTTATTTTATTATTATTATTATTGTAAATTATTATTTTATTTTCGATATTATTATAAATACTTACGCAATATAATTAATATTAGTAATGATTATAATTTTAGTATTAGAATAGATGTTAATGAATGTTATTTTACCCTAATGATCTTATTGAAATAAAAATAAATAAAAATGAATGAAATAAATATATATTCGTCCCATGCTTATATATATATATATATATATATATATATATATATATATATATATATATATATATATATACTGTTACCATGTATACCAACCAATAGTTAATAATTATAAACAAAATTAATACCTGTGAAATACTGGTTGATTTAAGTACGTTCACAAAAGGTGAAAAGGAACCAATAAACAATAACAATGCTAAATCATTGTATGATCACGAAACAAATATATATATATATATATATATATATATATATATATATATATATATATATATACTGTTATAATGCTTTTGGGGCACATGTTCGAATAAAATAATAGTTAATAATCATAACAAAATAAATACCTGTGCAATACTGGTTGATTTAACAATCGACCTGAAGTACGTTCACAAAATGTGAAAAGGAACCAATAAATAATAACAATGCTAAATCATTGTATGATCACGAAACAATACACAAAGCGTTCCACCGACTGACTAACACCTCTGACTCTGATGACAGGAATTGTTTCATATAACATGCACTTGCTGCAGAATTCGAGATGATCAGATTTACGACGAAGCGAAATTAGATTCAAATTATGTAGCGTCCATGCAAACAAAGTTTTTCGTAAGTAATATTATAATTACGTACTTGGTCACTGATACATAAATGAATAATAAGAGATTGTTTAAACTACTTTTACGGATTTTATCACGTTTAATTTACTAGATTTTTAATTCCCGCCGTTTCGATGGACACACAGTCCCCCGTGACCATGGGTGCTGGGAAAGCACCCGAAACGTCGGAAATAAAAATTAAATAAATGAAAGGCGATAAAATCCGCAAAAGTAGTTTTAATCAAAGTGTAGTGTTCGTGTAAATAAAAGAAATCATTATATTTAAGCGAACACTACACACTGGGGTGTGATGATGCTATTGTAAATTCTAAGTCATAGTCACGAAATTATTTTACTATCATCGCACGTCTGCAAAATTGCAGATTTTTCAGATGTCTAAAAATGGAAGAAATCTCAAAAGCAAAATCCATGCATTAATTAATAGACATATTATACATTCAGGTCAAAGTAGTCCTATAGCTTGTTAATTGTAATTTCGGTGTGGTTTTTAGATTTTTGCATTTTAATTGATTGATAAAATCTAATACGTATACGGTAGAGTCGTCTACCACCAATTTATGTAATGATGGAAAAATCCTACAATGAGGGTAACGGTTTTATATATATATATATATATATATATATATATATATATATATATATATATATATATATATAAATATAAATTGGTATCCGTTAGTTTCTTTAAAACTCAAACCTACTCGACTGATTTTGATGAAAATTTTTTGAGGCGTTGTTGTCGAGATTCAGAAATAAGCAATGCAAAGCCGGAGCGGATCACTAGTCTGCGCGCTAATAAGCTTTAACTTAGTATGAGAAAAGTTTGAGGTGTTTCAAATACACTTCTATTATGTCGAAAAGTAATTCCTCCCTCTGTCCAACTGGCTGGACATGTAATACATAAACTGTTTAAATTCCATTTAACTAAAATTTGTTTCTACACGCTGCGTGTAGAAACTTTTTTTCCTTCGGAAACTAGAACTTCAAGCTTCATCATCGTCATAAAGTAGCCATTCGCTCCCGAGCAGATATCGTCTGGAGTTTTCATATCCCGCAAGCCAGCTAGCTTCACAAGGTTCATCGCAGCACTGGAATTGAGGATACGTCCTGTTCCTTCAAGCTACACTCTGCGCTAGTGTTC